TGCGAGACAAAAGGCCCGTGACTCAGACAATGGACTTGTACGGCATGTCCGCCACGACGAAAGAGTGGTTGAATCCAGCATAGGCCCTCAGCGCGATGTGAAGGTGGGATTCGAGTGTGCATGGCCCCTGCGCAACTGTGTGGATCCTTGGGGAAGGACAGCCCGAAGGGAAGCACGCGGCAAAAGCTGGGCACACAAGGGAGAACACATGCAATCACGGCAAAGGGATCAGAAAAGCGGCGCTTGCCAAACATGTCAGACACAGCAATCACAGCGACGTGCAAGGTTGTAGTGTGGCGCTTGCCAGATATGCCACACCAACGTGCACGGGCAGTTGCGCAGCAACCCCGGGGAGCACATCTCTGGCGCACCTCTTGGATGGCGATTGCTCTGAGGATATCTCGTGCCAGAACCACACTGTTACGACGCAGTTGGACTCGTGTCTAGGTTTCGGTCGGGCATGTCCCCCTTGCAGACGGATTTTGGACGGATAATTTGAAACAGAATCCAACATTGTTCAGAAATAGTCAAATGTGGTTGAAAAATCGTCCCTGGGCTACATTTAAAAAAACTATTTCGAATATTCCTCCTGTAAAAAGATATGCCCGACGGAAGTCCAGGTCAACTAACCTCACGCTTCGCGCCAACCGCGATGCCTTCTCTCCGCGTCCTCGCACCCAAGCTCTGGAGAAAGGCAGCTCTCTCCAGCCCAGGCGGCGACGTGCGCCGCGCGATCGTCGCCGCTCTCCTGGCGGCGACCCAGCGGCTGGACCTCCGCTCCAACTCGAAGAATAACATGCGCTGCATAAGTCTACACTTTCGGAGGTCAATTTCCTCTTCAATGCTCAGGAACTGCCCCCCCCCCACCCCATCCCTGACGACTCCTGGCTTTCACCAGCTCCTATGCGACCGTCCGGTGCCCTCGCTGCCGCCCTCTGGCCGCCACGGAACTCCCAGGGCCGCCCACTGCGACAGCGCACCCAAAAACAACGAACCAAACCGAGTCGACACCGAAACCGACCGAGACCGACAGGCCGACACGCAAGCAGTCCCGAAGGGCGAAGCGACGCAGCAGCGACACGACAGCCGACCGAACCAGGCCAGCCACGACGAGGCCGATCCCGACCGAGCCGAGGACAGCCTTGTCTCTCCCGCCTTCGTTTCCTCCAGCGCGCTGCCCTCTCCTCCCTCCCGCCCCCCTGGTGCTGCTCAGCTGGCGGCACCCGCCCCAGCATCCCTGCCGCCCCTTGGCCTTCACCAGCCTCCCTTGCCCTCACTGCTTCCAGCGCGTTCCCTTTTCCTCCCCCCACCCTCCTGCTGATGCTCGGCAGATGCCCACCCCCAACATCCCTACCGCCTCCTGGCCCTCACCAGGCCCCCCCCGTTCGCATTTGTTCCAGCAGTGTCCTAAAATAAAAACATACTTCGCCAACGTGGATCCCAACCAGTGCGTTTTTAACCATACGTGGGTGTGGAACAACCTACGATGTGCAATAGACGTGGTGCCATGTATGTTGTAGAACTTGTGTCGTACAATGTACGTGGTGCAACTTATGTAGTGCACAACTTATGCGGTGCAACCGGCGCAATGCAATCTAAGTGGTGCAACCTATGCAGCGCGATTCACATTGTCGAACTTGAACGTGTAAACTCTATGGATCGCGCAGTTACCCCACCCAGCCACACGCAATTTGGATTGAAAGCCCATGCGGCGGCGATTGCGACGACTGCTTGGGGCTGGCTGGCGCATCGCCGCGGCCGCGCTAGCGCAGGGGCTCGCGCGCAAGACGGCCGGCTCGTCTGACGTGACTGGCGCGGCCCTTGTGGCGATGACAGCTGGGGATTTCCCAGCTCGTTTCGCAGGCCGCATTGGCGCGCGGGCGCTTCAGTGCGAGTCGGTGTGATTCGGGCGGGCGCGGTATCATGGCGACGTCGACAATGGCAGACACGATGATAAGATTAACGGTGCTGGCGGCGATGAAAATAATCATGGCGGCAAAAACATCGACGGACCAAACACCAATCGCACCGATGACGATGATGGCATCGCCGCGTCGGTGATGAAGACTGCGAAAAGGATTTCGACATGCGAGCGCGACCGACGCGTGCGAGTGGCCCGCAGTGTACTGCTTGACAGGAATCGTGCTCTCCAGCACGCGCGCAAGCGGGTTCGAATGATTTCGACACGCACGCGCGCGAGGCACGTTTGATCAAAGCGTTGGAAAAAACGACCGTTTTGGTTGGAAGAATTTGCAACAGCGCGAGCGCAAGCTTGAGGCGCAGCTGCTGAAACGCACCCCGGGGCAGGAAAACCCTCAGGAACCCACGACAACGACCGACAACGTCCGACCCTCCCTTGCCCCTGCTGCTGGTCAGCAGATGCCCCCCCCCCGCCCCCCACCCCTGCCGCCTCTTGGCCTTCACCAGCCCCTCCAGCTGCTCCACGTAGACCGGCACCTCGGCGGCGGGTGGGCCCTCGCAGAGGAGGGGCTGGAAGGCTCTCGGTTGAGGGGAGGTGCACTGAGGCCACGTGATGAACACGCGCGGTAGAGCGGGGAGGAGGAAGAGGAGGAGGAGGAGGAGGAGGAGGAGGAGGAGGAGGAGGAGGAGAAGGGGCAGGAGGAGAACGAACGAACGAACGACTCTGCTGAGGTGCGCCAGCACGGGTCACGCCCACATCACCGATTAAACAGAGTCGGAAAACTCAACCGAGTGACTGACAATCACCTCTAGAGTGCGCCATGGCCCCCACATTTGTGAGAACCACGCGTGGCACGGCTGGACTGCCAACGTTTTAAAGACGGCAGGGGGGCCGAATGGTCGGGGCAAAACTGGGCGCTGGAAGAAATCAAAGCGCAGGACCCTCCGCCAACGCGTTGACCACGAGCAGGAAGGACGCCAATGGGGGGAGGAGGAGGAGGAGGAGGAGGAGGAGGAGGAGGAGGAGGAGGAGGAGGAGGAGGAGGAGGAGGTGGAGGAGGAGGAGGAGGAGGAGGAGGAGGAGGAGGAGGAGGAGGAGGACAGGAGGAGGGCGAGGGGGGCGAGGCGATGAGAAGGAGGAGGAGGAGGAGGAGGAGGAGGAGGAGGAGGAGGAGGAGGAGCAACAGGCGGAGCCACAGGAGGAGGAGGCGGAGGAGGAGGAGGAGGAGGAGGAGGAGGAGGAGGAGGAATGGGAGGAGGAGGGGGGGACGTCGCCAGAACGTGCGCCCTCCTCCCCGCCGAAGCTTGCAGGGTCGTCGCCCATTGCAGCCCTGGCTGTGCAGCAGAGGTCCGTGCCGCCACGGAGCTCGAGGGGGTCGAGGGAGCAGCCATAGGAGAGGGAAGGAGGCTGGAAAAGAGAGCCAGGAGTAGGACGGCAGCAGGGTCTCCCAGGGGCGGGGGAGCGGGGAAGGAGCGGGGGAACGAGAGGAAAAGGGCCAGAGTTCGGTCGGGCATGTCCTCCTACTGGAGGACTTAGGAGGGACAGTGAACACTAGTCAAACAATGCCAGAATTACCCAAAAAACAAAAAAACGTCCCCATACTATTTGTCCATACTATTTTTGAATATTCAATATTCCTCCTGTAGAGGGACACGCCCGACGTAAGGGGGGGGGGCAGGAGTCGGGGGAGCGAGAGGAGAAGGGCGAGAGACCAGGTGCTGGCCAGGCCCATCCCAGGCCCAGCCTCAGGATCGATGAGGCGGTCCGTGGACTTCCCCCGAAGTGGAGGGGTGAGAATGCCCGATCCCTCTCCTATACTCGAAGACGAACAAAACACATTAACATAAACTTTTGGTCTCCGCGCGGGTTTCTTGGATACGCGCCTGGGCCCCCCCGGCGGCGCCTCCGGCGCCGCCCCTGGCGCGCTCAGCGCACCAGGGATGGGGGCCCCAGCGCGACCCCAAGAAATCCGCGCGGAGCGCCAAAGGTGTATGTTTATGAGATTTGTCCTTCTTCTATCTACGTCAGGTTCGTGTCGTGCCGACTTCGGCGTTGGTGTCTGACACCGCGGGGATCGTTCAGCCTTGGGCTATCGGCCGTTTCTGGAACGTCCAAATCGTTCCGCACCGAACGATTCTGGGTCCCCCGCGGCGTTCAACGTTGAACGCCGCTGGCGGGGTCGCCGCAGGTCGACACGACGCGAACCTACCGCACCCCTCTCCTGGCTGCCCTCTCCCCTCCCCGCCTCGCGGGTAGCCGGTGCTCATCCTTGGTTGCTGTCCCCCCCCTGCCTTCCTCTCCTCCCGCCTCCCGTCGGCGGCGAGCCCAGGGGGTAACCGAGAAGGAAAAGGCCTTGTCTCAGAAGGCTCGGAAGGCCCACGGCCTCCCGAGAATTTTTCCAAGCCGAAGACAGGGAAAACTTCTCGGAAGGCCGGAAGGCTTCTGAACTTAACTGTTATGATACGCACGTTTTGAAACGCGACACGTGCCGTGTTCAAAACGTCCGTGTTCAAAACGTACGTGTTCAGACTACGTGTTGAGTTCCGTATCAATGCGCTACGATTCGCGTGTTGCCAATCGGGGCAGCTAAGCTTCTGAGAAGTCCCGCCGCCTTCTGAGAGGGCCTTTTCCGTTTCCTTCTGTCCCCCCTGCGCTCACCGCCGATCCCTTCCCGCCCGCCTCCCCCTCCTCCCGGCGTGTGCGGTGAGGTGGTCAGCTGGCGTCCTCGACCCCATCAGGGCGAGGCCCTCTTGTCAATGGGGCGCACAGAGACCCACTAGTACTACATGTCCTCCTCGGAGGCGCGCGTCCGAGCCGAACATACAGTACACCCGTCTTGTAGTATCTCGTTATCCGAGTGATGTGGCCAGACAGCGCGCGTCAAAATGCATAGACTACACGATTTCTCGGTACGCGCGTCGCCCCCGGGGGGGCGACGCTCGCATACTCTGGATGAGACAATAATTGCCCCCCATCCGCTGGGGGGGGGGGGCACGTGCTGTCAGAACCGTGAGTGGGGGTTGGAGGAGGAGGAGGAGGAGGAGGAGGAGGAGGAGGAGGAGGAGGAGGAGGAGGAGGAGGAGGGAGGAGGAGGAGGAGGAGGAGGAGGAGGAGGAGGAGGGGGAGGAGGAGGAGGAGGAGGAGGAGGAGGAGGAGGAGGAGGAGGAGGAGGAGGAGGAGGAGGAGGAGGAGGAGGAGGAGGAGGAGGAGGAGGAGGAGGAGGAGGAGGAGGAGGAGGAGGAGGAGGAGGAGGAGGAGGAGGAGGAGGAGGAGGAGGAGGAGGAGGAGGAGGAGGAGGGAGGAGGAAGGAGGGGAGGAGAGGAGGAGGAGGAGGAGGAGGAGGAGGAGGAGGAGGAGGAGGAGGAGGAGGAGGAGGAGGAGGAGGAGGAGGAGGAGGGAGGGGATGGGCAAGCTCCGTCGGAAGGTGAACCGCCCACCCCTCGATGAATATCCCGCCCAGGGTCGAGTATTAGCCCGCTGGGGTGCCGCCGATCCGGAGCCCCCTCGGCGTGCCTCGCCCCGCCGCAGCGCCCCTCCCTGCCGCAGGGGTGCTGCCCGCCCTGAGGCTGCCGCCGGGCGGCTGCCGCGGGGTGCCACCACGAGGCTCCTCGATGGTCCTCGCCGAGAAGAGCTGCACACGTCCGAGCGAAGCCAAGGGAGAGTACATTATGGGGCCCGACCACACGAGAGGCCTTCCACAAGGAACCCAGCCCTGAGACCCCAGGATGTGCACTGTTTTTTTGGGGGGGGGGTGCGTGGGAACGCCACGCTCTCCGTCGCAGCACCCTCGAAGCCCGGGAAACCCGGGGCACCCTGGAGGCAAGCAGGGTGTTTCCTGGCCTGGGCCCCCACTCTGCAGTCGCGGCGCTGCCAGGAGGAACGCCACAGAAGGCACGAGCGGGCCCTTCCGGCCACGCCCTGCCGCCCCCCCCCCCGTGCTGCACGGGGTGCTGCCGCGGCGCCTCGCTCAGCGGCTTGTCCAGGGGCACGCCGAGGCCCTCGGCGCTGCCCCACGCGAAGACCTCGGGCGGGGCCCGGGGGGCGTTTTCGCTCTCTCCTGCGGCAGGTTCGCGCCGTGTGGACCCCGACGTTGGTGCCTGACCTGAGGGTCGGGCCTGCCCCCCTACAGTTCTGCAGCTCACATCGCACTTGAGGGCCACATCCCAGAACTGATTTCGAGCTCCCAGAGAAGGATCGAAAAAGTGTCGAACACGTATCACCTCCCAGGTCCCGACACGTGAGAACCCTCGAGTTTCGGTACTTTCCCTGTGCTCGAAATTATTCCTGGCGATCAAGGCTAAAGTAGGTTGGAACATCAAAGCCCTACGGGCGGATTTTTTGGGGAAAGAAAAACATAGTCCAAAAATATTCAAACATGGCAAACAAATATTATTAAAAACAAGTCGTCCCCGGACTATGTTTGGACTATTAGTGGACATTCCTCCTGTATAGGGACACGCCCGACTCAATCCTGACACCGCGGAGAGCGTTCAACATTGAACGATCGGCCCTTTCAAAAAGGCCGGATCGCTCAAGGATGGGCCGATTCTGGGCCACAAGCGGCGTTCAACCTTAAACGCTCGCGCTGGGGTCGCCGCCGGTCGACACGACGCGAACCTGCCGTCACAAACAGCTCCTCCCGCGCGGTGACAGTGGCAGCGCAGCCGGCTCCCTCGCTGCTCCCACGCGCCCAGGCCAGCAGAGTAGCTGCTGAGCTTCTGTCTTCAGCACCACTTCTCCGAATGATACGAAAAGGGTTTCACTCAGGAGGGAAAAAAACACACAAACACAATTAATCGTCGAACCCCCGAAAATATTGGAAAATATGGGAAGTGGGGGGGAAGACAAAAACCCAGAAAATATAGGACAATATAGGGAATCTTTTTATTTGTGTGTATTTATTTGTGTGTCCTGGGGCCCCTTCATTCACGCAGTCAACCGTTGGGCGTGGGCCGGGAGGGGGGTTGTACCGAGGACGGCGAGATCAGTCAGCACCGACGAGGCAGATCGGATCGCAGCGGATCGGAGCGTCGTGCGTCTCGTCGGGCCGCACGGGCACGGCATCGGAATGGCGTCGGGTCGGCTGCGCCGAGCTGCACAGCAGCGCCAGGCAAGCATCGGGCCACATCGGATCGCCGGACTATCGCAAATCCGTCGACTGGAGCCACCCAAGATCGATACCGAATGGGAGCGAGCGGATCGAAGGAGACCCTGCCATACTCGCGTTCTTTTCAACTCCACCATTTAGCGTGCAATGGCATCGCGCGAACAAGTCCTGCGACACACTTCATGCGGAGCGCGCCGATATATATATATATATATATATATATATATATATATATATATGTATATATACACACAAGACTGCAGTGGCGCTTCGCGCGATGTACCTTGGTCCTTGAAGATTGCTATGCAGGCAGAAAGGCAGGAAGGTCAAGCGGACACTTGAACGATAACTCCTTGCTGCCTTTTCTGGCATCGCCGTTCTAATAATGTTGTTCGTTATTTCCTCATTCTCGCCATGCCCTCATCCATGCTTATTTTTTCTTCATCCATGCTTATGTTTCCTCATTCTCGCCATGCCCTAGGCATTCTCCCCATCCTCCTCAGATCTTTTTGCGGAGGCTCCTCCTTGGAGAGCCTCTGGGAGCCTCACCAAAGTTCTCAAGTTTTCGTAAAGCCTTCTGGAGGCCTCCTGGGCGTGTTCTGGGGGCCTCTGGGGCTTCCTAAGGCCAACCTGCCTCTATCCGCGGTCTCCCTGAACGCCCCGGTCGCGATTTGGAATACTTGTCTTGGGGCCATTTTGGGCCGCCAGAGGCTCTGTTAGGGCCATGTGGGACCCCTGGTGTGCCGTTTTGGGGCTCTGTTGGACTGCCTGGAAGCCCTTTCGGATGGCTGTGGGGCGATTTTGGAGCCTCCCAGGCGACTTCGGACGCACAGAAGACCGCTGTCTTGGAGCGTCGGGAAGCCGAAAAGAGGAGAACCCCCAATTCGCCAAAAACCTACATAAAATCAATGGTTTTTCCTTCTTGGGGCCTTCTTGGGGGTGCTCTTGGAGGCCTCTTGGTACGTTTTGGAGCGATCTTTCGGGGTATGACTCTTGTGCTGTCTCAGGGTTCTCCAGGACGTCTCCGATTACCCCCCTGATCGCCCTAGGTGTGCTGCGAAGGCTTGGTAAAACGCCCTGCGAGGCCCGGGGGGCCGCTTCGAAGCCCGTCCGAAGGGTCCCACAGCCCCAGATCTCGGGAGTCCGTTTTGTTTTTTGGGGGGATGGCGTGTTTCCCCCCCGCCCGGGCTGGCAAACATATAGGAAGAGGAATACTATACGTATATATATACATATATATATATATATATATATATATATATATATATATATACGTATGTATCTACATACACACATATATATACATATGTATGTATATATATATATATATATATATATATATATATGTATATGTATATATTCAACGCAGCATCGTGGTGTGTCACATTTCTCCGAGTGTCATGCTCCCAATATTTCTGGGATGCAATCAAGCACCGTCCTAGGATTCACCTCCAATCCTCATGAATAGATGTTCGCGGAGCGCCCTCCCAGAACATAAAAATGGTGTGCGCCGCTCCCGTGGGGTCTTGCCTGGAGGAGCTCAGTCTAAAGTCGATACGAACACCTGCAGAAACCAAACAACAAACCGCAATCCGCTGATACCCGCTTGCCTGGGAAGACGAAGCGTGTGAGAGGTTTTGCTGCCCCCCTGGTCATGTTCCCCTGGGGTCCCGAATCATGTTTGAATGGTGTAGTGTTTGCCCTGAGCTCGGCAACGTCCCTTCTGGGTCCCTCAAGCTCCCCACGATAACATCAGAGAAGCGCCGTACTTTCTCCACCGCACTTTCTCCAAATCGTGTTTGCATTGCCGCCTCTGCTAATCCCACCAGCCCTCTGGGCGTGGGTGGTTTAGGGCGGCTCCTCTTCCAACCCCCTTTCTTCCCCTTCGGGGAGGGGTCGATCACTGTTCCCTATGAATATACACCCCCTCCCCCAGGCGACTGGGAGCCAATCACAAACAATGAGGACCCCCCCGCCCACCATGCCGTACAAAAATCAATACAAAACACACTCTGCCTCCAAATTCGGAACATGCGCAGCGAACCCGATGCGGCATCCCCCCACCATCCCTGTCAAAAAACAATACAGAGTACACTTGGCAGCGGCGGCGGCTGCGGCGGGGGTAGCGGCTGCGGCGGCTGCAGCGGTGGCGGCGGCGGCGGGCGGCGCGGCGGCGGCGGCGGCGGCGTACAGCGGCGGCGGCGGCGGCGGCGGCGCGGCGGTGGCGGCGGGCGGCGGCGGCGGATTGGCTCCCAGTAGCTGCCCATCCAAAGACGACAGCTGAATATGCTGCGGCTCGGGCCAGGCTCGAGTGCTACGTATGTGTTGGGAGGGCGGGTGGGAGTGAGCGAGACGGCTTGCGGGCGGGGAGGGTTTCTTGACCTCTCCCCCTACCCCCTCCCATGGACTTGGACGGAGGTCGCGAGGTGTTGGAGCGTCCAGAACGGCCTCGGCGAAGAAACTCAACTCATTGGTTTTACCAGGGTCTTGGCCCCATTTTGCCCTCTTGGGGGGGCGGCGCTAACTAAGGACCCCCCCCTTCTTTGATCGGTCTCTTCCGAGATGGCCCCACGAGCGCTTCCAAGGCTCCCAAGGCTGCCCCAAAAGGATCCCAAGAGGTGGCCAGGAGGCCCCGGGAGACCCCAAGAGGCCCCCAGGATGCCCCCAAGAGGCTCCCAAGAGGCCCCCAAGAGGCCCCAAGAGGCCCCCCAGAGGCACCCAAGACGCTCCAAGAGGCTTCGGTTACAATGCCAAAATCGGTGATTTTACAAAGGTTTTGGCCACACTTTGGCTTCCTGGGGGCTCCAAGATGGCCCAAGAGGGCTCCAAGAGCGCTCCCAAGGCTCCCAAGAGCGCTTCAAGAGGGCCCCAAGAGGCGCCCAGGAGGCTCCAACAGGCGCCCAAGAGGCCTCCAAGAAGCTCCCAAGAGACCCCCAAGAGGCCCCAAGAAGCTCTCCGAGGCACCCAAGACGCTCTAAGAGGCGCCCGGGACCGCCAAGAGGCCACCAAGACGCTCCAAGAGGCCTCCACTGGGGGACCCTTTCTCTGTGTGCTGCCCACTTCCCTGATCGAGGCAATTCCTCTGGGCATCGTTCTGGATGGGCTGGTGGGGTTATTTTTTCGTCGCGGCCGCAGGCGAGCGCGCCAGCAGCGTCAGAGGTCGGGCGGGCAACGCGCGAACCGAATTGCCTAGCGCACGGGGACCGACTGCCGAACCTAAGGCTGGTGGGGTTACGCGAAAACGTCTAGAATTCATACGGGCCTCCGACACTCCAAGACGGCACCAGCCACAAGGGCGCTCAACAGGAGCCGAACGCAAGAGGGCCCAAAGAGCCCCCACCACTCGGAAAACCACAAGGAGATCCAAAGAGGGCGCCAGAACCAAACATAAAAAATTAAACAACCCGACCCAGGGCCCAAGCAAGCACGCAAGCTGGTCAGGGAGTGCCGACGAGGGCCCAGAAGGACTGCGACATTACCCCAAAGTGCTGTTGGGACCAACCGCATCGAGGAGCGTGCTCGCACAGAGCCCTCCAAACCGCAGACCCCCAGACACCCCAAAATGCCCACAACAGCTTTCTTTGGAGAAGACAAAAGGAAGCAAAGGGGAATGAAAGCGCGACGAGAGCCGGCAGCTTGCACTGGCCCTGGGCTCGGGCAGAGGAGGGGAGCAGAGAGGAGGAGGAGGAGGAGGAGGAGGAGGAGGAGGAGAAGGAGGAGGAGGAGGAGGAGGAGGAGGAGGAGGAGGAGGAGGAGGAGGAGAAGGGGGAGGTGGAGGTGGAGGAAGAGGAACGGGAGAACAAACTGATAAGATAATGGCCCGGATTTGCATCATATAGCTAAGCGCTTGATTGGCAACATTTTGCCCAGCGAAAGAAATCACGGACGCCAACGGAACGCATGTATGCCGCATGTCCTGCGAGCGTGGCCGAAACTCGGGGCGGAAATTCGGGCGGATGTCCGCCTGAGCAAAAGAAGGAGAGGAGGAGGAGGAGAAGGAGGAGGAGGAGGAGGAGAAAGGAGGAGAGGAAAGAGGAGGAGGAGGAGGAGGAGGAGGAGGAGGAGGAGCAGCAGGAGGAGGAGAAGAAGAACAGGGGGGAAGACGGAACAGACTAAGCAAATCAAGGGTCAACGCCATCCGACTCCTGCGAGTCTGGGCGCCCCACCGATCATCGGCGTGCTCCCGTGGTCGCGCACAGTGGCGACTCATCAAATAGTGCGTGCGGAATGGAAGGAGCCAAACACAGACGACAGAGGCGAAGAGGGCAGGGAAGGAGGGGAGGCGAGGGGAGGGTGGGGAGAGAACTGAATGCAAAACTTACGGTTGTCCGTCTGTCGCCAGGAGCTGACGAACCTACCGCGCGCTCGACACCACCGGCACAAGATAGCGTAGAGAGGAAACGAAGGAGACGGGAGAAAGACAGAAACCATCTGCCCTGGCCCCGGGCTCGGGGGGAGCACGCGCACTGTGGGGAGACAAAGGAGCCAACAGCGGGGAGGCGGGAGGAGATAGAGGCCCCTGGCCATCGCTCGGACGTCCATTCCCTGTGTTTTTTTCGGTTTCGTGCGTGGGTTCTTCGCCAAATGATCAAGGATGCTCCTCGATGGTCCTCGCCGACCGAAGGAATCATCCCGGCAAAGCAACCTAACAGCGATGTGTATAAGCATATCTGGAAGCATTCCCCTTAAGATTCAGGTGAGAATCCAGTTGTAGAATTCTGCTGTTCTCGGAGTCGCAGTCGCATTCGCAATGACAGTCGCAGTGGCAACAGCCTTAGGATCCAATGGAATCCTAAGGATTCCTAGGGATTCCAAAGGCATCCTTAGGCATCCTTAGGAATCCATAGGAATCCTCAGGATTCCTAAGGGTTCCTGAGGATGCTTAACTATGCCGACGGATTCCTAAGGATGCCTACGGATTACTAAGGATTCCTGGGGATTCCTAAGGATTCCGATGGATTCCTACGGATGCCTCAGCCTGCTTCAGTTTCAGCCTCAGCCTCAGCCTGCCTCGGCTTGCCTCAGCCTCAGCCTCAGCCTGCCTCAGCCTCAGCCTGCCTCAGCCTCAGCCTCAGCCTGCCTCAGCCTGCGTCAGCCTCAGCCTCAGCCTCAGCCTCAGCCTCAGCCTCAGCCTCAGCCTCAGCCTCAGCCTGCCTGCCTCAGCCTCAGCCTCAGCCTGCCTCGGCCTCAGCCTGCTCGGCCTCAGCCTGCCTCAGCCTCCCCTCCCCCCCCCTTCCCCCCCCCATTCAGCCTCACCTTGTCTCAGCTTCGGCCTGCCTCGGCCTCATCCTCATCCTCAGCCTCAGTCTCAGCCTCAGCCTGTCTCGGCCTGAGCCTGCCTCGGCCTCAGCCTCAGCCTGCCTCAGCCTCAGCCTGAAGCAGCCTCAGCCTCAGCCTCAGCCTGTCTCAGCCTCAGCATCAGCCTCAGCATCAGCCTCAGCCTCAACCTCAGCCTGCCTCGGCTTGCCTCGGCCTCAGCCTCAGCCTGGCTCGGCCTCGGCCTCAGCCTCAGCCTCAGCCTGCCTCAGCCTCAGCCTGCCTCAGCCTCAGCCTCCCTCAGCCGCAGCTTGCCTCAGCCTCAGCCACAGCCACAGCCTCAGCCTCAGCCTGCCTCAGCCTCAGTCTCAGCCTGCCTCAGCCTCAGCCTGCCTCAGCCTCAGCCTCAGCCTGCCCCGGCCTCAGCCTGCGTCAGCCTCAGCCTCAGCCTGCCTCAACCTCAGCCTGCCTCAGCCTCAGCCTCTGCCTCGGCGTGCCTCAGCCTCAGCCTGCCTCGGCCTCAGCCTGCGTCGGCCGCAGCCTGCTTCAGCTCTGGCATTCAAAATATGGCACAGGTTTGGTGTTCTGGGAACACGAAGATCACGAAGTGGCCCACAGTTCGCTCCGGGGAATCAACATATGGTGCAGGAATGCCGTTTTGGGAACACGATGAACACGAAGTGGCCTACAGGTGGCTCTGGGAATTCAAAATGTGGCCCGGGAATTGTGTTCTGGGAACACGAAGAACACGAAGTGGCATACAGTTGGCTCCGGGCATTCAAAATGTGGCCCGGGAGTTGTGTTCTGGAAACACGAAGAACACGGAGTGGCCTACAGTTGGCTCCGGGCATTCAAAATGTGGCCCGGGAGTTGTGTTCTGGGATGTCCAAGAACACGAAGTGGCCTACAGTTGGCTCCGGGCATTCAAAATGTGGCCCGGGAATGGTGTTCTGGGAAATCGAAGAGCACGAAGTGGCCTACAGTTGGCTCCGGGCATCCAAAATGTGGTTCGGGAATGGAGTTCTGGGAAGTCGAAGAACACGAAGTGGCCTACGGTTGGCTCCGGGCATTCAAAATGTGGCCCGGGAACGGAGTTCTGGGAGGTCGAAGAGCACGAAGTGTGTGACTGTTTGCTTAAAACGAGCCCGGCCCTCGCCTGTCCGGCTCCCGCCCAGACCCCCCTGGGGAGTCATCAGATGCTCTCTTTTGGCCCCATTTGAAACCTATCAGTCTTCGCTGTTAGGTAAAAAACGCACACGTCCGAGCGATGCCGAGGCCTTGTCACGACCGCACTCAGACGCTGGAGACATGGAGGCTGCAGGTTTCGCTGCTCCCTAGCGGGCCCGGCTGGCGAAGTGCTCGGCCAGGGGACGCGGAAGGCCACGCCGTCTGCCAGCGCCTTCGGCCAAGCGACCGCGGCGGAGGCCTGCCCGTGCCTTGCTGCGCCGGTTTCCCTGCAGGTCGCGCGCAGCCCCAGAGCGCGGAGGGCAAGCAGCGCCCCGTCCAGCGATAGGAATTCGTCTAACCCCGGTCCTCGGGGGCCCTGGTGGAGGCACAGCTGTGTACGGTGGGACGCACAGAGAAATACTAATACTATATGTCCGCCTTGGAGGCGCGCGTCCGACCCGAACATATAGTATACCCATCTTGTAGTATGTCGTTTCCCGAGCGGCGTGGCCAGAAAGTGCCCACCACACCGCATATACTGTAAGATTTCTCGGTGCGCGCGTCGCCCCTGGGGGGGCAACGCATACATAATATAAGTATGTCCGGGCGACGCAGATACGGTAGAGCCGCGCCACGACGGGGCGGTAGGCGCAGCGCCGGAGGTCCTCATGCCCATGTTGGCCAGCCCCCCAAGAGCGCTTTGAGCGCAGCGGCCCACACGCAGGGCGGCACCAGTGGGCCAAGGCGGTGAAAAGGTAACTTCGAAGCGCTGCACCCGGTGTCCCGGAAGAGTGATTAAGGGCAATCGCTCCAGTCTGCGGCGCAGGTGCCAGAAGAGGTCATGCGTGTCGCGAGTGCAGAGTACATCTCCACATCGGCGCTGCCAGCGCTGCTCCGGGGTGGAGGATGGGACGTACACGAACAGACTAGTACTATATGTCCGCCTTGGAAGCGTATATCCGACCCGAACATATAGTTTGACCATATTGTAACGTAGATCGTTTCCCGAGCGGTGTGGCCAGAGAGCGCCAGCCACGACGCATACACTATAAAAGTTCTCGGTGCGCGCGTCGCCCCTGGGGGGGGTGGGCGACGCACATGTAGTATCAGTATGTTGGGGTGGCGCCGAGGGGAGGTGGAAGAATCGTGCAGCACCAAGTCCACGGAGAACCCCTGGATCGTCGCCACCGTTTCGAGCCGGCGCGGCGTCTCGAGGACCGTGCTGATGAAGTTGCCGTCGAACCATGGGGCCCAGGTGCAGAGGCGCTGCAAGTGGTCCGAGGAGAGGCGGGCACGTTGAAGACGCCGAGCACGACGGTCAAGTCGCAGGCCGCCATGCTTGATGTTTTCCCATCGATGGACACGACACTTGGCCCCCTGCGCCATGGCCTCCGCATTAGGGACCCAGATGCCCATGACGGTCTCAGCATCTCCGATGAAAAGGCCTGTGAGGAACCTACTCTTGAGTGACAGCGGAGGGGTGCCGTCCCTCTTCTGTCCGCTCCTCCACGCTATCCGCGCCCGGCCAAACAAACTCCCTCCAACTCAT